TGTGTGTGTGTGTGTGTGTGTGTGTGTGTGTGCCAGTCCTGGAGAAACGCAGCAGCTGCAGTGGCATCACTGGCACAAAAAATGAAGCAATGCTATTTTGGGTCTGTAGACCCGAGGCTGACAGAGGGATATGAGCTCTATATGCTGTGAATGGGGTGGGGGGTGGATGGTTAAGATGCTGATGGATGCTCTTTTGTCATCTCTAGCATTTAAGGTCTTTCTGGGGAGGGTTCCATGAAGACATTTCTTTTATTTCCATTTCTGTATCCCACTGATCTCACACACAGAGCAGAGACGTGCCTCTGTCTCCCAGCTTCAACATGGATGTGTGTAGCGGTTTCATGGCGGCTGTGGTGACAGGGAGATATACAACATCTGGTCACCTGACTTCATTTGGGATCGGAGTGGGGGTGGGGGCCAGTCCTGTGAAAGCTGAACTATTCCGCCTCGGATCCTTTCACAGCCGTCGGTGGTGGAGGAGGATGGAGAGGGTGCTGGCTATATACAGTGTGAGCTGAATGTGTGTCTCCCCCACATCACCTTTTTAGATTGTGGTGTCAGAGCCGACGTGGAGGGGCTGAGAGAGATTCCTCTCCCAGGAAGCACAGTCATCCTCAGGTCTGTGAGGATGAGCAGGGCCTGATGGGAGACCTGTTGTCTGGCTTTGGTGTGAAGGAGGGATGTTAGGGAGCCATGTCAGTGATGGAGGGAGGGTGAGATGATTGTAGAGGGGAATTGGGGGATGGGATATGGAAGGTGCTATACTCTCTTTGAACACAGGCCTGTTGTATTGATGTAGATACATGCTCTTCCATTCAACACTATCCAGACTTATAACACAAACAAATTTTTGCATGTAAATATCAAATGGCTGAAACATAAACTGTCCCCTACCATCACTGCCAAGCCTACTCTCCTGTCCTGAACATCATTTGTTGATCTAAATTATTATTTTTACTTAAAAACCATTGATACATTTAGTTTTAATTTGTGCTAGTCCAGCACATTACTCAGCACTGGTCTTGGCACGAAGGACACCAGGCCTCCACCAATGATCTAATGCAGTATAACAATCAGACAGAAATGCTGTGATGTACCAGAAGAATGCAGGTGTTTGGCTTTTATACGTCCTGCTGTTTTCAACTGATCTGTGAAACTGCTGCTGGATGATTGGTCTCCTCTCTGGGTTCTTAGAAGCTATGCTCTACATGCCACACTCTTTACACGTTTATCACACCTTCATTCTCACACGTCTGTTCCAGTGTGGAGATGGACGGCCAACAGATTTATGGGTTCGTGCGGGACGTGCTTGACATCAGTTGAATGTATTCAAACCTGCATATTGGCAATTGTCTCTGCATTAGTTACATGCACCTCATGAAATTTTCATAAGAGCAACGAGAAAACGCAGACAGAAGCTGTTACTGGTCAATTGGATGATGTCACCGGTCTGAGATACTCTTGAAAGCAAAGGTAAAACTGCACCTTTCAGTGTACTGTTTATAGTGTAAACATGTTTTCTGCAGGCAAAATCCAGGTTTAGCTTTGATGTAAATGTTTCCACAACTGACCCGGATGATGGACGAACAATGAACTGCAGTTACTTTTATCTATCATATAAATTCAGGTAACTACAGGCATGGGATAGAATAGCCTTGCAAGAATAGAGGGGGAGGAACAAGAAGAAAAATAGATATATAATGCTCATTTATAGTATCTCTTTTGCATGCACAAGTATGACTTTTCCTTGTACGTTCTGCTTAAATAATGTATGACTTTATTTTAGCTTGATTTGACAGAAAGGCGTAGTAGGGTTCTGCTGAGGAGATTATACCTGGACCTGCTTATCTCTTTGACACTTGAATTATTGTAGTGGATGTTACATTTATTTTTACAATATGATCATCTGCCCAGAGTTCAATTTGTCTCCACATCTAAGCAGGAATTGTCCTGAAGCTTTATTTAACATGGTTAAGGACACATTTGTCCACCCAAACAATGTAGACCATTTCTTTTTCCAATATGTCTGCCTCGTCGTGTTTTAGTGAGCCGCTTTGGGCTTCCCCATGTTTCCATTGGCCGGTGTAACCCAACACACACAGCTTCTCTTACCTCACCTCAGCTAACAAAAGCAAAAGACACAGGACCTCATCTTAGCCTGTAGCCTGCTAACTGGGCTGGCTGAAATATGATAGCAGGACAAACACACACACACACACACACACACA